CCTCCTCTCCTCAGCAAAGAAAACTCTCCTCTAATGGTGCTAATGAAACACTGGGATGGGTTTGTGGTGGTGGGTGGGATGGTTTGGGGAGCTGGTGACTGAATATAGAAACAGTAACAAAACATCTCAGGGCTGTCACCTCTGCAAGTCACCTCCATCACCTTGCCTCTTACTCTCCTCCCCTCTCTCACTCTACTCCAGCCACCCTGGCCTCCTTGCTGCTCCTGCAACCTGCCTCACGTGCTCTGCCTCGGGGCCTTGGCACTCTGCCTGTGAGGCTCATCCCCCAGGTCCCCCAATGGTTTACTCTTCCCATCCTTCAGGCTCTGCACAGTGAGACCTTCCTGAACACCCAATCTAAAGCTGTGCTGTCTCCAACCCCTAGTCCTCCCTTCTCATGGCTCCATCTTTGAAATATCTGACATATTACAAATAGTGTTGTTTACTGGTTATCCACCACTGCCCCCTCCCCCAACAAGAATGTCAGTTCTGTGAGAAAATTGATGTTTGTTTTCTGGATTCAATGCTGTAGCCCCAGGGTTTAGAATAGTGCCTAGCACACAGTTAAAGGCTCAAAAAATGTTGAGTGAATGAAAGAAAATGAAGGGAGGAGGAGACAGTCAGAGATCAGGTTTCAAGGTCAGCCTTTCCAGGATCCACAAGGGTACTAGCAGGACTAGGTTCCCACTGACTCACTAGCAGGACTAGGTTCCCACTGACTGTGGTTAGCTGTGGGCATTGTCTGTCAAGAAAGAAGCTGGGGACGTCCCTGGTGGTGTAGCGGTTAAGAATCCGCCTGCCAATGCAGGGGACATGGGTGGGGACATGGGTTCGAGCTCTGGTCCGGAAAGCTCCCACATGCCTTGGAGCAGCTAAGCCCACGTGCCACAACTACTGAGCCTGCGCTATAGAGCCCGTGAGCCACAACTGCTGAGCCCGCACGCCGCAACTACTGAAGCCCGTGCGCCTAGAGCCCGTGCTCTGCAACGAGAAGCCACCACAATGAAAAGCCCACGCATTGCACTGAAGAGTAGCCCCCGCTCGCCGTGACTAGAGAAAGCCTGTGCGCAGCAACGAAGGCCCAACACAGCCGAAAATAAATAAATACATAAATAAAAAAAAAGAAGAAAGAAAGAAGCTCTGCTTGCCTACCCAGCTACAGGGGAAACGCTCAGGAAAGGAAGAAATGGTTTATGTGGATGAAAACAGACAAACAAAAGAAATCTTATCCACACAATAATTCTGTCCTCTCTCAGGAATAAAGAATGCAGTAATCAAGATCATCCATGTTTGAGACATTTGCCTCTATGTTCACCACCTACAAAGAAACCTGAAATTTTAAAGTCAGTGTACCTTGTGATTGGGTCCCCAGAGGAAGAGGTTCCAGAACTGCCAGATCTCCCCCCTCTTAGATGGAGAAAGTGTTAGTCACTCAGCTCTGTAATGCTCTCCCTCTAGGTGTTGATTTGGGATCTGGGCTTCTTTGGATACAGTGGCTAGGAAAGCAAGTGAGTCATCAGAAGCAACAGAAGCCATGGGTCAAATGTCACTGACTAATCAACCTGTCATTTGTCAGTTACCCGTCCCCGTGAAGAGGCACCACTGATCTAGTTTCCTATCAATAAACATCTATCTGGGCACATCAGCTGCGGCCTGCCGAGATACCCAGCATCACCCAGAGGCATTGGTGGTTAAGAAATCCCTCTCCCTTTCTTATTGATAATGTCACAGAAGAGGCAAATGCAGTTCCTGACAACGTAATGTCAGTTTCATAGAGACGTGTCTCTCTGAGTGTTCAGCCAGTTTCATGGGGCTTCAATTGCATGGATTTTCTCACTGCAAAAGCAATAGCTGGGCTTAAGGAAGGTGGAGGCTTCACGCGGTGCTGAGATACACAATTCTGCCTTTGGTTGTGCCCATGCTCATCATCCCCCTCTGAGTCAGGAAAAAAAAATTGTTTGGGGAGAACCATTCCTTTTCCACATTTAAAGAAAACCAAGTGGCACGGTTCTCTCTTGTCTCTCTTAAGCTCCAGTAACACCTTTTATCTGGAGTCAGATTCAATATCTCTGACTGTTTGAGTAGAGCTAGAGGCCAAGGTAGCCTTGCCACATGAAAAGCTTGTTTGTCTCTTTCTGAGTTGTCACCTTGGCAATGACCTCATGAGGTCCCTGCTCAATCTAAAATTCTAGATCTCCCACTATACCCGCTATAATTTCCCCTTCTATCTTGATAGACTACCTCATCTGCACATTCAATCTGTCAAGGAACACTTATTTCGAGTTGTCACAGGCTTCATATATCGGGTGAGGCTGGGAGGAGGCAGCAAGTAAACAATTATAATACAAACATGACAAACGCTCTGGGAGGAATTACATACAGAATGTACGGAATCATTGAATAGGGATGTCTAAATCAGCCCAGGAGATGATAGAAGGTTAGGGAAGCATTCCCAAAGGAGTGAAGTCTTGAAGGGTTTATAAGAGCCAGGTAAAAAGGGGTGATGAGAAGGTAGTGAGACACACATGTAATGAGAACAGCATGTTCTAAGAGTTGAAGGCATGGGGTAAGAGAGGGGTGACACATGCAAAACTGCAAGTAGCTGGATAGGCTGAGACAGTACGTGTAGGGGTGGTGGAGAGGCAGGAGACAAGGCTGTACGGACAGAAGTAAGTCACATGTTCTTTTTCTTTTTGGCAGTACGCGGGCCTCTCACTGTTTTGGCCTCTCCCGTTGCGGAGCACAGGCTCCGGACGCGCAGGCTCAGTGGCCATGGCTCACGGGCCTAGCTGCTCCACGGCATGTGGGATCTTCCCGGACCGGGGCACGAACCCGTGTCCCCTGCATCGGCAGGCGGACTCTCAACCACTGCGCCACCAGGGAAGCCCAAGTCACACGTTCTTAATGCCGTTGTCTGAACTTTCTCCTTAAGGCAAATAGTAGCCATGAATCCTCTTAAGAAGGGGCATGACCACATCAGATTTGTGGTAACAGTGTGGGAGATGGTTGCAGGTGGGGAAAGAAGAGCTACGTAGAGAAGAGAAACTACAAAGATGCAACTACGGTGATGGCAGTGGGGATGGGGAAGAGAGGAAGGATTTGTGAGATATGTAGGAGCTGGTATTGACAGCTGACTGGTTCATTGGGGGAGGTGAGGGAAAGGAAGGAGTTTAGGAAGATTTCCATGTTCTTGGCTCAGTGGATGGGTGGATGAGCAGTACCACTAAATCAGATGAGGAAATAGCAGTGTGAGGCAACTTGAGCAGGGAAAGGGGAGAATGGTGGAATTCCATTTCTGATATATTGCTTTGAGATGCACAGGGACCGTTGTTGGATGGGGGGTGGAGAATGTGGGGTGCCAGGTAAGCACACAGAATACAGGGAACATTAAAAGAGAGTGGGCAGAGCTGCTAAGCTGCCAGTTTGCCTCTATCTTCATTGGCAAGAAGACTGGTTTTCAAATTAGAAATGGCAGAACAAACATAAGAGAAAACTGAAGCCCCAAATAGGTGAAGTGAAAGAAAGTATCTAGTCATTTTAAATGATTTCAAGTCTCCTGCTCAGATGAGTTACACACCAAGCCTTCTGAAAGAAATTGCAGATGCAATCTCAGAGACACGATCGGTAATCGTCAAGAATTTGTGCAGACTCTAAGACAAGAGAAGGACAACTGTTTTCCAGATGTTTAAAGTAAAGAGAAAAAGATTGTAATGGGAAATATTCAGATAAGTTTCACATCGTTTATGACAAAGATTCTAGAATGACTTATTAAATAGATGGCTTATGATTACTTTAGTTAATGCATGCAGCTGAGAAGAAGGAAGGAGGGCGCGTTGATGGCTATCTGATGGAAGTTTATTTATACTGCTAGCTTGTCCACACTGATTGTGGCTTGTGTCCTCCCCCTTCCTAAGCACGAAGTGAGTTGTCTGGCCTGCAGTATGAATTCAAGGCTTCTTTATCTGTGATTTGCTGCCTGTGGTACTCAGCCTGTATGTGGCCCTTTATGAAAAGAGGTTGACAATTTAAATGAAGAAACCAACAGTCTGAATTCTCCAAGAAATCCAGCATCACTTGTCAGGGTACCCCAGGGAACCAACAAACAGCGTTAACCTCTGCAGTTATTAGCTTAGACATCAATAAACCTTTGTCTATTAGAATCCCACTACCTTATTTTTTGTGCTCTTTCTTCCTTTACACATACTAACTTTAAAATGAGAACAGGAAGCAGTAAGGAAAATGTGGTACAGCATGATGGCAGGAAGGCAGTCATGTCTCACCAACATCTCTACCTCTGGCAGGCTAAGATATAATGTAAAATATCTTGTGTTAAAAAAAAAATATATATATATATATATATATACACAACATTAGTCTTTCAGAGACCTTCTTAGAACCTTAAAAAAAAAAAGGGCAGCCTATTTGAGACCCAGATGACTCTCTTGAACTAAAGTATATCCTCTGGGAGATGTCACCAGTGTCACATTTTAAAATTATATGGCCTTACAAATCAAGCAATAGTGGGTTAAAGTTCCCTTCTTAAAGCAAAGTGAAACAAAACAAAACAAAATGAAAACAACCAAAAACCCAGACGTGAAGATTAGTAAAAAGATCTTTTAGAACCAGGTTTCATATTCAGATCTGTTTGGTTCATATATAAAGTCATTTCTTCGAGTTGAAAATGATTTCGATATCCTGTAAGTCCCTAACCAATACGAACTGAGACTTGTGCCGTATCCAGGGAGAGGCCCTAGTCCTCTCCCTCCACAAATCTAAACTAGTCCCTCCACAAGTCTAACTTTGGTGCATCTCCCCACCAGAAAATCCAAACAAGCACCTTGTATATCTTTGTCCCTCCTTTTCCATCCCCTCCTCTCAATATTTAGAGCAAAGAACAGAAGAGTGTCTTCACTGAAGTTACTGGGATCGTCAATGTACCAAAACACAATTTGCACGTGTCTTCCATTTTAAAAGTAATAAATGAAAGGGAATCTTCTTACCGTATTGACCCAATCATGTATGGCTGTGCCAGTTGAACCACAATTGCACCACTTCCTAGCTGATGACATGTATAGCCAGAATCCCAGTCATAGTTCTTAGTGTCCCCATTCAGCAAGGCATTTCGGCTCCGACTGACTCCTTCAATCACGCTGGCACAATCAGCAATTGTTGCAACGTTCTCCATGGGAACTGTGAACCCAACACAAGATTCAGCATCAAGATAAAGAAGCCAAATATATCCCACCAGTGTGCTATGAACAAAATTAATTAATTACTATCAATAATAAAACAGAAATTAGAGCATCTTGATTATCTCAAGATATGAACACATTTCCATGCCAAATAGCTTTTTAAAAAGATGAACCTGAGGCTGGAACAAACCAAACCACATGTAGCAATTAACCCTAAAGAATTTTATTACAAAGAAACATGATACCCCATAAAATATAGAACGGATAAATACATTGTGAAATATTACTACAGTGGGAAACCACACAGTAGTTGAGATTAATTAACTACAGCTATATCCAAATTGATTAATCAGAAAACAATGTTGAGTGAGAAAAGCAAGGCACAGAAAAACACAGTGCATGAGTTCATTTATACAAAGCTTTTTAAAAAGGCAAAACTAAAAATATAATTTGTTTAGGGATATATATATAAATGTAAAACTGAAAAGGAAATCCAGGGAATTATTACACAAAATTCATGATCATTTGTATGAGAAAGAGGGAGATGAAATCTTGGAGGGACACCTACCAATGTGTCCAAACATTAATTGATTTCATTTCCAAGATGAAATCCTGGAGGGGCTTCAAAACTACTGGTTTTCTTCTATTCTCGTGAGGCGATAGGCACATAGGCACTTGTTTTATTAGTGTTCTCTAAACTGTACATATTTATTACACTTAATAAATGTAGTACGTTTGTTTAAAGAAGCATGACATATATAGATTCAGTATTTTAGAATTCATAAAGCAGGAAAACAATCCAGGACATGGTACCAATCCCTTTGCAGAATATACAGTTGCCCTCGGCCATGATTCATTTCCCTTTTTTGTCTGTTTACTATTCTGAGCAATTCAACACATACGCTCATCTCTTTGTTCATGAACTGCTGCATTCTGAAACACCAGCTCTGTTTTGATTCTGTGTCTCTCTATGTACTTCACGTCCACATCCACCTGTTCATTTACAAAAGTCTAGGGTATCCACAAAATGATATAGCTGTCCAAAAATGATGTAGATTCTCTAAACACTGAGAAGAGAATGATAAAAGGTGAGAGCCTTTTAAGTCCACTGGGACCTTTTTTGTGCATTTACTAGTGCTGCGATTTTCTTCAGAAATTTAAATTATTTAACCTAAATCTACAATTAACCTTAGCTACTTACATTCAAGATGTGTAGCTTACTTTACAAAATTTTAAAATGGCTTGAAAAAAAGACAATTTCTTATTAGATATATACTATACTTTTCAGTATAATATTATACTCTATGCAAAGAGAGAGGGTGAGCAGTACTACTATCATGCCAAAACATTTCTAACTTTATAATGATGCGGAGTAAATAATCTTCCATGTATCTTCTAAGCAATGCATTAACTTTTCAAAGGTGGGCATGCCTGTACTCGAGCCCTCATCTACCTTCACTACTTGCTTTGCTCCCTCATCTCATATACCTTCACTGCTTGCTTTGCTCTCTGTAGATAAGGACAGCCATCCACAGATAAAGAAGAGAGGAAGGGAAGGAGGAAGGGAGAGAGACTGGATTTTCTGCCCATGAATCCCTTGCCTATGAAGCTTAACTCTAAAGCAATAAGCAGAATCTCTGGTAAAGTAACCTGTGAGAGCAGTGTACTGGCAGAGAAGGGGCTTACAGAAAAGCCCCCCTCTGACTTTGAAAGGAGAAGAGATAAAGGACTATATTTAGAGGCTAAGTCATGGTACCTCCATCTCATGGAAAAGGGGAAGTGTTCTGTGATTTGGAAGAGAGAACTAAAGGAAGTGGCACAAGATACACAATAAACTGAGCTGAGACATAAAATCACACTGTAGGTAGCTTAAGCTGCAGTAAGAGACAGCCTCCATTCTCCCAGGTGCTTAAAGAGCACACATGTATTTTTCACCCACACTATGCATTCAACGATGATCAGCAAGGTGACTCTGAGCATTGCATCATGCAGGGAACCTAGTGACGGAAGCTTTGTATTGATTGATATATGCTTCTTCAATCACAGCAGCAGTGAGAAGGGAGTGAACTGGGCACTGGCTCTTAAAACTCCTCCCCCAAAGCAACACACATCACTTTGCTCACATTTTGTTCACTAAGGCAAGTCACAGGGCCTTACCTAACTTCAAAGGGGTTAGGAGAGGGCTAACTTGTTGTGTGCCCAGGAGAAGAAGGGGAATATAGGGTCAACAATATTAACGTCTACAATAAAAATTAAACCAGGATGAAGGAACGTTCAATAGCCAGATAAATCTAGTTCATTTGTGTAAAGTATATAAAATATTTCAATGTATAAATATACCAAAGGGACATTAGATTGTTACCGTTGTTTTCTTTATGATTACAAACGTGTCTTCTTGTGGACATAGGTAAGAGTTTCTTCAAGGAATATGTAAGACATATATATGTATATATTTACACACACACACACACACGGAAGTGGAATTACACTTGTGGCTATGAGTTACCTCATTGGCAGGATGTCAGTCCTTTCTCGGTTAATGTTGAGTTGAAACATTTAATCTTTTCCTATATGATTTGTGTTTTCCCTTTCTTGTATATAAATTCTTTCCAACCCCAAATTTATAAAGATATCTCCCTATATTTTCTTCTAAAAGTTCTCAAATTTTGCTTTTCACGTTTGGTTCTTTAATCTATTTAGGATTTATTTTTGGTATGCTATTAAATACAGATGTACTTTCACCTTTTATTCATAAGGTTAGCTAATTTCCCCAGCACCAATTAATGAACAGTTCATCGCTTTCCTCCACTAATTTATGTTACTTTAGTCACGTATAAAGTTTTCATACGTATCTAAATCTCTTTTTAAGATTTGTACTCTGTTTCCTTAATTTGCCTAGCCTTGTGCCTTTACCATATTGTTTTAATTACTATAATTTTACAGTATCATGAAATTTGACAAACTGAACACCTGTCTTCCCTCTCCTTCGCCTTCTTCTCTGTTTTTCTTCAAAATTACCTTAGATATTCCTGGCCCTTTCAGGAGAATTTTGTGTTTTGTTTAAGTTTTCAAATATACTAGCATAAAGGATTCTTCAATATACGCAAATCAATCAATGTGATACACCATATTAACAAATTGAAGGAGAAAAACCATATGATCATCTCAATAGATGCAGAAAAAGCTTTTGACAAAATTAAACACCCATTTATGATAAAAAGCCTCCAGAAAATAGGCATAGAGGGAACTTACCTCAACATAATAAAGGCCATATACAACAAACCCACAGCCAACACTGTTCTCAATGGTGAAAAACTGAAACCATTTCCACTAACAGGAACAAGACAAGGTTGCCCACTCTCCCACTATTATTTAACATAGTTTTGGAAGTTTTAGACACAGCAATCAGAGAAGAAAAAGAAATAAAAAGAATCCAAATCGGAAAAGAAGAAGTAAAGCTGTCACTGTCTGCAGATGACATGATACTATACATAGAGAATCCTAAAGACTCTACCAGAAAACTACTAGAGCTAATCAATGAATCTGGTAAAGTAGCAGGATATAAAATTAATGCACAGAAATCTCTTGCATTCCTATACACTAATGATGAAAAATCTGAAAGGGAAATTAAGGAAACACTCACATTTACCATTGCAACAAAAAAGAATAAAATACCTAGGAATAAACTTACCTGAGGAGACAAAAGACACATATGCAGAAAATTATAAGACACTGATGAAAGAAACTAAAGATGATACAAACAGATGGAGAGATATACCATGTTCTTGGATCGGAAGAATCAACATTGTGAAAATGACTATACTACCCAAAGCAATCTACGGATTCAAGGCGATCCCTATCAAACTACCAATGGTATTTTTCACAGAACTAGAACAAAAAATTGCACAATTTGTATGGAAACACAAAAGACCCCGAATAGCCAAAGCAATCTTGAGAAAGAAAAATAGAGCTGGAGGAATCAGGCTCCCTGACTTCAGACTATACTACAAAGCTACAGTAATCAAGACAGTATAGTACTGGCACAAAAATAGAAATATAGATCAATGGAACAGGATAGAAAGCCCAGAGATAAACCCACGGACATATGGTCTCCTTATTTTTGATAAAGGAGGCAAGAATATACAATGGAGAAAAGACAGCCTCTTCAGTAAGTGGTGCTGGGAAAACTGGACATTTACATGTAAAAGAAAGAAATTAGAATGCTCTCTAACACCATACACAAAAATAAAGTCAAAATGGATTAAAGACCTAATGTAAGGCCAGACACTATCAAACACTTAGAGGAAAACACAGGGAGAACACTCTATGCCATAAATCACAGTAAGATCCTTTTTGACCCACCTCCTAGAGAAATGGAAATAAAAACAAAAATAAACAAATGGGACCTAATGGAACTTAAAACCTTTTGCACAGCAAAGGAAAACATAAACAAGATGAAAAGACAACCCTCAGAATGGGAGAAAATATTTGCAAATGAAGCAACTGACAAAGGATTAAACTCCAAAATTCACAAGCAGCTCATGCAGCTCAATATCAAAAAAGCAAACAACTCAATCCAAACATGGGCAGAAGACCTAAACAGACATTTCTCCAAAGAAGATATACAGATTGCCAACAAACACATGAAAGGATGCTCAACATCACTAGTCATTAGAGAAATGCAAATCAAAACTGCAATGAGGTATCACCTCACACCAGTCAGAATGGCCATCATCAAAAAATCTAGAAACAATAAATGCTGGAGAGGGTGTGGAGAAAAGGGAACCCTCTTGCACTGTTGGTGGGAATGTAAATTGATACAGCCACTATGGAGAACAGTATGGAGTTTCCTTAAAAAACTAAAAACAGAACTACCATACAACCCAGCAATCCCACTACTGAGCATATACCCTGAGAAAACCATAATTCAAAAAGAGACATGTACCAAAATGTTCACTGCAGCTCTATTTACAATAACCAGGACATGGAAGCAACCTA